GATTGCAAGTAAAGAAGCCAGGACTGAAACCAGCACCCACACTGGGTCCTGGCCTCACGGGCAGTGGCTTAATGTGCTGTGCTACAATGCTGTCCCCTACTCCTAAGAAGAATGTTCCTGCTCCCGCACTGACGTCTCTGAGTCATTTTAATGTAAGTACCAGAGTACTCCAGACAGCCGTGGATGGAGCAGGCATTTGTCCTAACAGCTGAGAGGCGCAGCTCCTGCTAATGCAAATGCTGTGGGCAGCTGCTGAGGCTGGGGAGAGGTTGGGTGCCTGCTGGTCTTTCCGCCGGGTTCCAGACCAGCTCCCAGCTTGGAGCGCCGGGCCTTGAATTCAGAATCCTGTGGTTCAGGGGCTGTGGGCTGGACCCAGAGGGTGGACTGCACTGCTTGGGAGGGAGAGGCTGCCAGAGGCCAGGGAACGTGGAGCTGGCAGATGAGACGAGGGAGATGCAGCCAGGTTCCCCCCAGGGAATTCCGGCATTCCAGAATCAATCCTAGCCTGTCTCCCAGGGTGTGGCAAGAGTGAGCATCCCAGAGACAGCACAGAGGGCAGGCAGAGAATGAGGCCAAATAAAGCTGAGATGCCCACGGGCAGTTGCTGGTTTGTTTGTTTGTTTGTTTGTTTTTAATCTTAAGGTAGTGGCACCCTTAATACCTCGGGTTTTATTCCGAGTCACTGTCCATCTGCCGCTGCTGTGGGGTAGCAGGCCCCTCCTCCCCATGGTGCCACACGGCCACACCTGCTGGTTTGATGATGAGGGTCAGGTGGGGGTACGCTTACTTGCCAGCCTCAGTATTTGGCCACAATCTTGGAAACCAGGAACCCTGTGAGAGCAGCTCCGGTGTCTGCCCTTCTAGAAGCCAGAGTCGGCGAGTCCAGCCAGTGAGGGCCGGGCGTGCTGCACTGCAGGCAGGTGCATGGACGGGAAGGTGTGTGTGTGGAGCCGGACGCCATCACTGCTCACGGTGGGCGCTGCGTGACCAGGCAGGGCTGCCTCGGGGGGGAGCGGGGTTCAGGCTGGGGAGGCCTCACATGCAGGGCCGAAGGGACCCTTGCTGCCTCCCCCCAACCCCGGTGCTCTGTGTGAAGCTGGGAGTCACGTGGGCCCGTGCTCCCACCTCCCAGCCGCCGTGCGGGTGGGGGTGGGGGTGGGGGAGAGTTTGGGGACCTCTGAGGTGTTGTCAGGTGTCTGCCGAGAGGGCGGCTGGGGGACTCCAAGAGGCCTTCAGCCCACGCAGGCTCTCCACGGGTGACTTATGGTGGCCAGCTGCTCCTTTGGTCGCCGCCCCACGTACCGGCTGCTTCTCGAGCCGGGGTGACCTGCGCTCCTGGCCAGCCCGGCGCTGGGGTCAAGGCTGCTGTCCATGGTGTCGGGCACTCGTGAAAAGGGGCTCAGCCGCTGCCCGCTGGGGCAGACCTGACCACCGCGTTTGCTATCCTGAGGGTGGCAGAGCCGCGCCCCTGGGATGGCTGAGTTCTCACGGTGCAGGCAGCAGCTCTTGTGTCTGAAGACCGTGGGCATAGCTCAGCGTCCAAGAGAACGGGCAGGTGAGTCCGAGATGCTGCAGTAGCTGCTCGAGGCTGGGTCCTTCCTGGTCCACCTTGGTCACCGCCCCAGGGCGGGTGGTGCCTGCTGGTATCCCCCGAGGGAGAAGTAGCTCCCTGGAGTGAATGAAGTCTGATGCTGTTTTGTAGCTATGGTGGCATCAAGGCTTGGTGGGCGTTCCCGGGGCTCCCTGGGATCCTGTGTGCTGGCCTCCAGTGTGACTGCGGGGACAGCAGGTGATGGGCAGAGGCCAGCTCTGAGCTCTGGACTCCCCGGGGAGCACCTGGAAGCTGATCCCTTTCCTGCCAGACACAAACACAAACAGCTGAACTTTCCTCATCCCCAGCCCCCTGAGGTCCCTGCACCTCGCCCACACACCCACTCCCCCATCCCCCACTCCCCCATCCCCCACCCCCAACCCCCGCCCAGCCGCTCTTCCCTGCCCGGCGTCCCCCAGCAGCCCAGGCCTCTCTGCGTTGCCGTGCAGGGCCTGTGGCCAGGATGCGGGTCTCGGCTGCCCTCCCCCGGGTCCAGCCTGAGGGGAGGGGTGGGGAGGTTTCTGCAAAGGGAGATCAGCTGATCGCTAGGCAACCACCTGGAGTCGGTTACCTGGGTAACAGCTGCGGGCACCCACGCCAGCTGGACGTCGTGTCTCGCGGCTCTCTGCATACGCAGATGGCTCTCCGAGGTGGCCGCTCTGTAGCTCCCGACGCGGGTTCTTACCGAGGTCCTGTGCTCTCTGCGTGGGCCTCCTGCCAGCATCCCCAGCCATCGAGCCGGGCATCCTCACCCTTAGGGCAGGAGGGGCTGGGAGCGACCGTGTACTCCCCACCCCCATCAGTGACTGCCAGGCCCCCCCAGGGTCCCTGGAGTCAGGCGTGGAGGAGGAGGCAGCTGAGACAGCCCTGTGGGACTGGCCGTGCCGCCGCTCGGTCAGCAGAAAGGAAAGGCGGGAGCTCTGTGCCTCGGTTTCCCCTCTCTGCTGTGGGGGTGGACAGGTCCTCAGCAGTCTGAAGACTGGAGACTCAGCCCCCTGCTCTCACTGAGTGGAGGGGACATCAAGGGCCCCTGGAGGCTGGCCGCGCCCTGCCCCTGCTCACCGGAAGTGCACAAGGCTGCCCTTGGCACCGTCCTGTGTGCACCGCCCTGCCTTGGCCTGACACCAGGAGCCCTCAGTGTGCAGGCATCTGGGTGGGCGGCTGCTTGCAGGCATTTGACTTGCAGCCCCAGCAGTGGAAGGCGGCCGTGTACGTGGCTGGGCCCTCCCAGGTGTGGTGCCCCGGCGACCCCAGCCTGCTCTGCCTGGGCCAGGACAAAAGCAGTCCCTGAACACGGTGTTCCCTGCGAAGCCTCAGCCGTGGGGAGGGGACGGCCCTGGCCGGGTGTCCAGGAATCCAGGTCCCACCCAGCTTAGCAGGTGCCGCTCCCGGGACAGGTGAGGGCACCCAGGTGAGTGTGGCCTGGGCACCGGGCTGCTGCTGGTTTCGCTGGAGCCAGCACTCCCGCCTCGCGTCGCTCAGGCCGGAGCACCGCTCTTTCCTGCCAGGGTCGGTGTGGGAGGGAGAGATGACCCCGGGCCTGCCTGGGCCAGCCGACTGAGGCACCGAGCTCCAGCCGGGGTGGGGCCCTGGACGGCTGCCACCAGCGCCTGCGGGGACATGCGAAAGTGTCAAGGGACAGCAGAGCTGTCTGCTCGATTTCTTAATGGGATGGTAACAGTTTCCAGTTTGACAAAACAGAAACACGCGTTGCCCCTTTGTGGCACCTCCCACGCGTGCTGCAGGCCTCCCGCACCTGGGGGGAGGCTGGCAGGAGCGGCTGCGTGTCCCGGACCCTTGCAGGGTGGGCATTGACGGGGTGGTGTCTGCTGGACAGCAGGCTGCGTTCCCCATGCTCGGCGGTGCTCAGGAGGGCGAGGGCAGCGATGCCAAAGGCCACAAGCTGGGAGGGCCGGGCAGATGACTGCTGGGAGGCGCCCGGACCCCACTGGACGTCTGGAAGTGGCTGGGCTGCTCTGCGTGGCGTTGCCGTGGGGAAGACCAGGGGCCGTCCCTCTGCACTGCGCCCCCAGCCCGTGTCCTTGGGCTTCGCTGAGCAGCTCTGGGCCGGCTGTCTCAGCAAAGGCGAGGGGACCTCAGGACGTTGGTGGTGTCTGCGCTGGTGCCCAAAACGCGGTTTCGTAGCCTGCATTTCCGTGAACTTTCAGACCCCTCAGGTGTGGGAATGTCAAGTATTTTGCACCTAAATGACTTCTTTTCCCTAAAGCTGTATTATTGGAGGTGGATAGGGAGGGCTCCCTCGCATCCACTGGTTCGCTTCTCCCACGGGCTCGCAGCAGCCAAGGAAGGGCCGGGGCAGAAGCTGGGGCTGCACGTGGTGCGGGTCTCTGCGGTCCCAGGCTCTGCAGGGCAGGAGGCTGGAGTCCGGAGCCGGTCGGTTTTGAACCCAGGTATTCTGATGTGAGGTTTTTTTGGTCATGTTTCCCTTATGGTAGTTTTCTTTTATTAAAAAAAAGGTATGTTTATTTATTTATTTTAAAGAGTTAACAGAAAGGGAGAGACAGATCTTCATCTGCTGGTTCACTTTCCAAATGGCCGCAAAGGCCTTGGCTGTGCCAGGCCAAAACCAGGAACCAGGAGCTTCTTCCGGGTCTCCCATGTAGATGCAGGGGCCCAAGCACTTGTGCCATTCGCCACTGCTTTCCTGGGCCATAAGCAGGGAGCTGAATCAGAAGTGGAGCAGCCAGGACTTGAACCCGTGTTCATGTGGGATGCCGGCTTTGCAGGTAGCGGCTTAACCCACAATGCCACCATGCCGGCCCCTAAATTCTCTTTCAATTTCATGCTCCTTGACCTCACTGGCCGCTGTGCCTGGCGCGGGAGCGGACACGCACCTGTCGCTCACTGGGCCTTTGAGAAGCTTCCCGAATGGGTCCTGCGGGCCTTGGCCTGGCACACATTTCCCACCTCGTTCTCCCCTCCCGTCCCCACCAGCGCAGTGACAGTGGCTCAGTCTGCCCAGCACCGTTTTGACCTAGAAACAGGGTGCAGACGCCTGGGGCCCTGCGGTTTGGTTTCCTCTCCTTGTATGTGATGCTGGTGCAGGCAGGGACGTGGGCTTGACCCCACCAAGCTTGTAAGCTGCTCCTGAGGTCACCTAATGGGGCCCCGCAGACGGTGCCTGGGAGCCGCACTGATCGTCCCTGGTCGTCTCTCGGGTGCGGTGACCGACTGGTCGTCCTATTCCAGTTTATTCTGGGGTCTGAGCCCACGGAGCTGGCAGGACAGGCGCCGCCCTCCCCACCTACCCTGCAGGTGCGGCTGCCTCAGGTGGCCCAGGGGATCCCCAGGTTATACCCCTGCCCCCCATGATGGAAATGGCCGACCCGCAGGTGCCGGGGCTGTCTGTGGCTCTGCCCCCACCCACCACACCTTCTTCTCCCCACAGGTATCCGCCCCCAGATCATGAACGGCCCCCTGCACCCCCGCCCCCTGGTGGCCCTGCTGGACGGCAGAGACTGCACCGTGGAGATGCCCATCCTGAAGGACCTGGCCACCGTGGCCTTCTGTGACGCGCAGTCCACGCAGGAGATCCACGAGAAGGTGGGCCGGGCCCCGGCAGGTGGCCACAGCCGGCCGAGGGAGGGGCGGGCCCTGACTGCTCTGCCTCCGCCGCAGGTGCTGAACGAGGCCGTGGGCGCCATGATGTACCACACCATCACCCTCACCAGGGAGGACCTGGAGAAGTTCAAGGCCCTCAGAGTGATCGTGCGGATCGGGAGCGGCTACGACAACGTCGACGTCAAGGCCGCCGGCGAGCTAGGTGAGCTGCCCGAGCTGCGCCGTGTGCTCCGGGGGGAGGGCTCCGGGGAGCCGGCCAGGCGTGGCTGGCCAGCCCATCACAGACGCCGCAGGTAGGCCCTGCCGCCCTTGGCACCCACAGCAGCGGGAAAGCAGGACGAGCCTGCGGGCACGGGGGACCTGTCCAGCTCCCGGGGGGACAGGGAGCCTTTGACAGTGGCCGTCCCAGGAGGCAGTGCTCATCCTAGGGCGAGCAGCCCTGGCGGGTCAGCACCGAAGCAGGTGGACCCCCGCCCACCCCCCACCCGCCCTGCTGGAGACCCCTGCCTCCAGGATGCTCCTCGAATCCCTGAAAGTGCGCGTGCGCACACACACACACACACACACACACACACACACATACACACACGCACGCTGAGGGCTCTGAGGCTGTCCCCGTGGGGTCCCAGGCAGAGAGCCTTGACGCCCGTCTGAGGCTCCTCGGGGCCACGTGCCTGCTCTGCCTGGAACCCGTCACCTGCAGGCCTGGGGGCCGTGTGTTCCTGCGTGAGCAGGGAGGCGCCCCAAGCTCATGGGGCGGTACCTCAAGAGGCCAGGAAGCCAGCGAGGCCCTGGTGGACGTAGAGGCAGCCTGGCCTTGGTGCAGCCCCTCCTGGGGTCCCAGAGCTGCAGGGCCAGGCATGGGGACACGTGGCGTGGGGGCCCGCGCCGGCGGGGATAGCAGGATCCAGGGCTGCCTCACAGGGGCCCTGCCCTGCTGCCCCGGAGGTCCCCTCCCAGGCGCTCCACTGTCACGTGCTGCCCGTGGCTCACGGCGGGCTCTGGATCTTAGGAAGGGCCCCACTGCACCCTGGCCCTGTCTGGCAAACATTCACATTCTTCCCCCAATCATACGGGCAGCAAGGGCCGTGAGTGCCGGGCCCCTCCTGCCTGACTCCAGGGTCCTCCTTGGGCATAGCCCTCGTGGCTGCGCCTCCTGCGGCCCCCGGCCCCCACCCCTTCAGAATGTCCTGTGCCCTAGTGACCTCTCAGTAACCATGGAGGGCTTCCTGGCTGCGTCCTGCCAAGGCAGGGTGGTGCTCGGGCCGCAGAGGCGGGCCGCAGCCGGATCCAGGTATCCATCAGGCTACAGGTGTTTTTAGTTCAAAAACTGAACACCATCAGCCCAGCCCAGCCCAGGGGCCTGTGGGCCTGATCTGGGTCCACCCTGAGTCTCTGGTCTCCTGCGCCTCCCGCCTCGGGCCTGGCTGACTCCGCCAGGAGCTGGGCTGGGCGTGAGCCAAGTCCTTGCACAGAGATGCTGGCATCCGAACCGGGCACCGGTACCCTCAGTGATGCCCTGGGCCTCCCCCAGGGCACCCAGCCGGGCAGCGGCTGAACAGGGCCCTGCGCCCCACTCCCCAACCCGGCAGCAGCGGCTTCCCGCTCAGGGCGGCCTGAACGTGGGGCTCGCTCACCGCGGGGCCTCGCCTTGGCTTTCCAGGGATCGCCGTGTGCAACATCCCATCTGCAGCCGTGGAAGAGACGGCCGATTCCACCATATGCCACATCCTCAACCTGTACCGGCGGAACACGTGGCTCTACCAGGCGCTGCGGGAAGGCACGCGGGTGCAGAGCGTGGAGCAGATCCGCGAGGTGGCCTCGGGGGCGGCCCGCATTCGTGGGGAGACGCTGGGCCTCATCGGCTTTGGTACGTGCCGCTGCCCGTCCCTTCCCTGGGCGTTCGGTGGCCACTGCACGGGAGGGCAGGCCAGGGGCTGACGGGGACAGGCAGTTTATCCCGGGGTAAGGCAAGGAGAGGGTCTCTCGCTGGCCAGGGTGACTCAGGAGGGTGGAGGGCACAGCTGTGGAGCCACAGGCAGGCTGGTGTTGAGTGGAGACCTGGACGGTGGCCGGGGCCCGCTCCTGCAGGCCCCCAGGTGCCGGGCTGGGTGGCAGCAGGGTCTCACTGGAGTCAGAGGTGGGACAGGAACCTGTCGCGCAGCAGCTGTGGGTTGTTGGGAGAGCCGGGGCGGGCCTCGGTGGCTACAGTCATCTACACCGCAGCAGGCCTGGCCCCCCTGCCCACAGGGGGTCTCCACCACTTGCTGCTGTGGACTGTGATCCAAATACCCCTCTTGGCTTTGAGCAACTCGGTGGCCTCTTCCGCCTCCGTTTCCCGATCTGGCAATCACTTAGGACTCGGGAAGGCACGAGAAGTGCTTGGGGTGTGCAGTGAGGTTCTGGCCTCCAGAGGAGACCCCGTGCTGTCAGTCCACGTCTCCCCTTTGCCACCCCGCGCAGGGGACCCTGGGGGGCACTGCGACCCATGTGGGAGGAGCTGGATTCTCCCAGGAATGCCGCCCCGCCTCCCGGGAGCTGAGCTTCTGAGCCCAGGACACTTGGGGACCATCTTTCTTTTCTTAAAGGCAGAGGCAGAGCGGGGTCTTCCAGCTGCTGGTTCGCTCCTCCAATGGCTGCAACGGCCAGGGCTGGGCCAGGAGGAAGTTAGGAGGCAGAAACTCCCTCTGGGTCTCCTGTGAGGGTGCAGGGGCCCGCGTGCTTTCCCAGGCACATTAGGGAGCGGGCTTGGAAGTGAGCAGCTGGGACTCGAACCAGAGGCCCTGTGATGCCAGCGTTGCAGGCCCGAGGGGATGCAGTGCCCCCTGCTGGTGGCCCGCTGTGCTGCTGGGACTTTTTATTCATTTTTATTTGAAAGGCAGAGACCTCCCATCCTGATTCGCTCTCCAGAGGCCCACAGCAGCCGAGGCTGGGCCAGGAGCCTAGGACTCCCTGCAGGTCTCCCTTTGGTAGCAGAGACCCAAGCACTTGGGCCCTCACGGGCGCTCCCCTAATGACATCCGCCGTGATCTGTTGCCGATGGCCTTGAGGCTGCTGTGGGCATATCCGGGCCTGGCAGGCGCAGGTCTCACCCTTGAACCAAAGGCTGATTCCTCACGGCTGATGGGTGTCAGGCCAGGGGGCCGTGGGCACCTGGCCCCGCGTATGCCCTTAGACAGAACTGACGCCCTAATGGACAAGCCTGCAGTGCAGACAAAACACGGAATGGTCAGCGGGACAGCTGAGGTGGAGTTCACTAACTCTGGTGCTCTCAAGTCCTGCGGAGGCCAGCCTGGCCTCGGCCGCCGTGCCCTGGGCTGGGGCCTCGGGCCAGTGCCCTGGCCAGCGCAGGCAGAGCGGGGTGCGGCGCCACCCAGGAGCCTGGGCCGGGCGCGGCGGGCAGCCGCGGACGCACTCACCTGGACGTTCTGTTTCCGCACAGGTCGCACGGGGCAGGCGGTTGCTGTTCGAGCCAAGGCCTTTGGATTCAGCGTCATATTTTATGACCCCTACTTGCAGGATGGGATAGAGCGGTCCCTCGGCGTGCAGAGGGTCTACACCCTGCAGGACCTGCTGTACCAGAGCGACTGCGTCTCCCTGCACTGCAACCTCAACGAGCATAACCACCACCTCATCAATGACTTCACCATAAAGCAGGTAACCGCACACGCCCGCACCCGGCGCTTGTGGCGAAGCTGCGTCACTTGCCGTGGGAACCCGAGGGGAAGTGCAGCGGCCGGGGGGCACAGCTGGCGGCCACCTTGCAGAAGCAGAGGCGGCCTGTCCCGCCAGTGCCCTCTAGGGAACAGCCGGAGGCCCGCGCCGGCAGCTCTGCTGTGTGGCGTGGCTGCGGCTGCGTGCACCTAACAGGCTTGGCGTTCCCTCCACAGATGAGGCAAGGAGCCTTCCTGGTGAATGCGGCCCGCGGGGGGCTGGTGGACGAGAAAGCCTTAGCCCAGGCCCTCAAGGAGGGCAGGATACGAGGGGCGGCCCTCGACGTGCACGAGTCGGAGCCCTTTAGGTGGGTATGCGCTGGCTGGGCCGGCCCTGGTGCACACCATGTGGCTCCAGGCCTTTCCCCCGGATCCTGGGGTCGCACAGGCTGGGAGGCTGGGGACCGTGTGGGCGGGGTCCGCTCAGCCCTCTAACCGTGCCCATCTGACGTCCACGCAGCTTTGCTCAGGGTCCACTGAAAGATGCCCCGAACCTCATCTGTACCCCGCACACGGCCTGGTACAGCGAGCAAGCCTCGCTGGAGATGAGAGAGGCCGCCGCCACCGAGATCCGCCGAGCAATCACAGGTGAGCCCGCCCCACGGCGCCACCGCCTCCCGTCACCCCGCACTGCAGGGCAGCCGCAGTCCCCCTGGAGTGGCCAGCGGGGCGTCCCGACGGCTCTCTGGTCGGGGAAGAGATGTGACTCGCTGTGATCTCACTCCAGGTCGCATCCCGGAAAGCTTGAGGAACTGTGTCAACAAGGAGTTCTTCGTCACTTCAGCTCCTTGGTCAGTAATGGATCAGCAAGCAATTCATCCCGAGCTCAATGGCGCCACATACAGGTGAGGCCCAGGACTGGCGGTCCAGCGACATCCTTGGGGACAGAGGCCGAACTCTGGAGGAGTCCTTAACCAGAGTTCATGACTTCAGGGAGACAGCTGCCAACGGAAGTTACGGCCTGGGAGCAAGTAATTGATGTTCCTGTAGCCCTGGGCACAGGGGCCAGCAGACAGATGCTGGCGGGGCTGCACACACCAGAGCCCTCGCGCCCACGAGACTGAGGGGCAGGACCCCTGCACGGGCAGGCGGGCCTACCCCGATGCTGCCACCGCTGGGCTCCACGGGAACCGGTAGATCCGTGCGTGAAGCCAGGCCAGAGCAGCCTGGACTCCAAGGCAGCATTGTCTCTCTGCCCTTGGCACACTCGCATTTGGGCGCTGCAGGGCCTGTCCTGTGCGCCGTGGTGCTGCGTGGCATCCCCAGCCTGCCACTCACGTGGGAAACGCAGACTGTTTTGGCTTCCTTTCCATACCGCGCGGGCCCACCTTTTGCCCTGATGAGAGCACTTTTGCAGGAGTCACAGCTGGAGCCCTGCACAGCCTCCCCCACTCAGATCCCCCCGGGTTCTGTGTGACCTTTGCCTCATTCTGAAGCACCCGTCTTCAGTGTGTTCGACCACACCGAGCCCCACTTGCGCCAGAGCCGTACGTTCTCTAGGTGGCTGACGCGGCAGAGCCCATGACCCCCGTGGCAGTGAGCCCCCGTCTCAGCGCGCAGAGGCAGCAGGCAGCACCCCTGTTCGCCTTTCCCCTCCCAGGCCACGGGAGTGCAGCTTCAAGCCTCCCGGTGCCACCAGCTCCCAGCCTCAGCTTGTGGGGTGGCTCCCAGGCACAGGGTAGTGGCTTTCCCTGTATCCGCATGGGGGTGGGGTGCAGAGCGAGCGGCTCTCAGGAGCCCCTTTGGGAAGGACACGAAATCCCAGCTGTGAGGCCTGCAGCTGCCCAGCATCTTGGGGGGAGGGTTCTTCACTCTGACTCAGTCCCTGACTCCATGCTCAGTCATTAAATCACAGGGCCTGGGAGTCTGTTTTGCACAGTGTGGTGGTTTTTTTTTTTTTTTTTTTAAAGATTTATTTATTTATTTGCAAGTCAGAGTTACACAGAGAAAAGGAGAGGCGGGGAGAGAGAGAGAGATCTCCCAGCTGATGGTTCACTCCCCAGTTGGCCGCAATGGCCAGAGCTGCGCGATCCGAAGCCAGGAGCTTCTGGCACTCCTGGGATGCCGGTGCTCCAGGCCGGGGTGCCAACCTGCTGCCCCAGTGCGTTTCCCATAGGTTTGCTCAGATACCATTCCAGTGGTCTAAAAGCTACAGAATCAGTGGTCCAGTGTGTTTGTTTATAGCCGAAGATTTCCTTCCTCGCTTTGTTTGCTGTGCTCCTCATACCCCAGAGAGAGAGACCAGAGCTGCCTGCACTGCACTAACCGCAAGGGCCGTTTTCTGTGTGCTCCGCAGATACCCGCCAGGCATCGTGGGCGTGGCTCCGGGAGGACTTCCTGCAGCCATGGAAGGGATCATCCCTGGAGGCATCCCCGTGACTCACAACCTCCCCACAGTGGCCCACCCCTCTCAAGCTCCCTCGCCCAACCAGCCCACAAAACACGGGGACAATCGAGAGCACCCCAACGAGCAATAGCAGAGAATGCAGAACGGTGATCACTCAGCTACACTCGGGACCAAGAGACAGTGAAACACACATGAACTAAGAAAAGGAATTTGACAGTCTTTTTACCTGATTCTGGACATACGCACCATTGACGTTGCAGTGTTAAACCACAAGAGCGAGAAGACGGAAGACGCCGTCTGCTTACGGAAGCGTGGAAGAGACTAGCACGTGACTTATTAACGACCAACTTCTGTTATTGTATGTTAAGTTTTTCATCTGTGCATCAAATCACAAAGAATAAATAGAGCTTTTTCCTTTATCAGTTCCTTGGGCGCGGCAGGCCCTGAGCTCCTTGCTCTAGAATGTTGCATCAAGAGTTCCAAACATCAAAATAAAAATATTAAGAGGAATCCCCATCCTGTGACTCTAGTCCCTTCGGTCTGCAGGGGCTCATTACCTCTTTTTGCTAATAGGAAGATTAAGTCCTACCAGATGGGGAGAAGACTGTCTGCCTGTGTTAGACGGAAGACAGAGAAGCGGCTCTCAAGTCTGAACTGCAGACCGAGCGGGCAGGTGGGCTGTAAGTTCAGTAACACCCTCTGATGATGCAAAAAAGAAAAAAAAGTATTAAGTTTCACAAGCTGTTTGTACTCAAATATATTTTCTCAGTTTCAGATCCTCAGCTATTTTATTGAGTGGAAAGTCTTGAACTGAAAGGGTTCAAGAAGAATAATGTTGCATTTCCTTATGTCTCAGGAAACACTTTTTATGGTAACTTGTCAGATTGTCTATGAACAAACCCACTTTTTTAGACATTGATAAAGTCTTCTTTTCTTCACGTGATATTTTATACAAGAACACTTCAGATGTGTTATTAGATGTGACTGATTTTAACAAATCCTATTAGATTTGTATCAACTAGTTACATGTTCTACTCATAGTCTTTTGTGAATCATTGCCTTTTTGTTGAAAGATGGCCTATTTTGAGCCTTTGTATAGGTACATTCCTGTTTTTGTGACAAAAGAAAAACTTTAAAACTGTCCCAACAGAAAATTAATGGCTATCAGAAGTATGTTTTTGTTTTAGTGTGAGTTCCCGTTGCTGTATTTGTTTATTGTAAAGGTGGACATTTAGCGTTCAGTGCAGTTTTCAATAAAAAGTAATGAAAATTTCTGTTCTGAAATTCAAGTACATCTCACCCATGTACAAAGTTCTTTGCTGGAGATGTTACAACCAACAACTGTTACCGCAGGGTTGTATCTGCTTATTCCATTACCAGACCTCGCGACAGGGCATTTAATGGAAAAATCAAATCATGCCATCCATGAGAGGAACTAAGTCAACTCAAGAAACAAACCTGGTCAGCTTTTAAGAGTTTTGATTTTAAATTACCAAAAGGAAAATTTATCTGGCTCAAGCATTAATTCAGGAAGGGAAATGAAACTTTTTTTTTTTGCCAACAACCTTGACAACTGTGATATTTACCAAGTGTTGTGAGCCAACTGGTATCAGCCATTCTCGTCAGTTAAGAACTGGGCTCTTCGGCCGGCGCCGCGGCTCAATAGGCTAATCCTCCGCCTAGCGGCGCCGGCACACCGGGTTCTAGTCCCGGTCGGGGCGCCGGATTCTGTCCCGGTTGCCCCTCTTCCAGGCCAGCCCTCTGCTGTGGCCAGGGAGTGCAGTGGAGGATGTCCCAGGTGCTTGGGCCCTGCACCCCATGGGAGACCAGGAAAAAGCACCTGGCTCCTGGCTCCTGCCATCGGATCAGCGCGGTGCGCCGGCCGCAGCGCGCCAGCCGCGGCGGCCATTGGAGGGTGAACCAACGGTAAAGGAAGACCTTTCTCTCTGTCTCTCTCTCTCACTGTCCACTCTGCCTGTCAAAAAAAAAAAAAAAAAAAAAAGAACTGGGCTCTTCCTTAAACAGCATTAAATCCTTTTTGTATTAGTGGCGTCTGCAAGTGTGAAGTCAGTTTCCCAATTCAAGCATTAACTCCCTCCGAGCCTCTTGTAATCCATGGTGCCACCCACCTGCCTGTCCTGGTCTCCTCACTGCGACCCCAGTGCTGCCATGGGAACAGTGGCAGCCAGACACCCACACTGACCTGTTAGCCCAGCCCGCAGATCCAACCCTCAGGCCATGAAAAAAATCCCCAAGCATCTGTGCCCTGCCATCTTTCATTTAATTTGAGAGTCTGGGACATGAGCTAAGAATCAACAGGCAGGTTCAAGTCCATGGTGCACCTGGGCTTTAATTAGATCTCAGTTGTTGAAACAGTCCTTTGGAAATGACTGTATATACAAATTGACTCCAAGGAAGAAGAAAACAGGTCACAACAGAAAATACCACATTGTTTTCACCCTAGAAAAATAACCATAAGGTTAAGTCCATACAATTCGGATATTATCCTCCAGAGTCAATCAAAAGACATTCACATCTGCCACCGAGCCGTGTAATAAAGGGACTTGGAGACTATTTGGGGACAATAATTATGGCTGTTTCATGGTTCCACGGTTCAAGAGCTTAATGTAGCCTTCGAACAGCCAGTATGTAATTCTTTCCCACAGGGAAGAATGCTATACCCATCAAACTACGTGGTCGGGGTCACTCGCTGATCATAAATAAATAAATAAAGAGGGCGCTCAGGGGAACACTCAGCAGACCACGACACACAGGTGGAAGCTGAATAGTGAGCCTGTGGCAACGCCAGCTCAGCGCAGGGCCCCATGACCAAATGCTGTTCCCTCCACCTCTTTGGCTTCAATTGGGAGGGCAGACTTTGCTTAGCTGGCACTTGGAACAGCAGTTCTGCCCGCTAATGGAGATGAGAGCCTTCTAAAAACTACTCCTCAAAATGAAAGCAAACCATATGGAGTTCATTTATAAGAAAAGTTAACATTTACCATTATATCAAAATTCATTTACATGGAATCATACTGTAAAAATAGTTTTTTTCCTGCCAGTTTTTGCATGCACTAAAAATGATCCTTTCTGTCCTGGGAATACCTTTTATTGAGTGTTGGTTGGGGGAGGATAGAACGCACGGAAGAAACGACAGCTCATGGGTACCTTTCCATTTACTATGCCAGCATCGAGGCTGAGGCTGCACATTCAATGCTATCTAAAGGCTTTCACAGCCTTTTGATCAAGGGAAGGAAAAATGGGCTGGAGGTGGGGGCAGTTCCTTGCCACATCAACAAGTCCACAAAGTGCTTATCAGGACACTAGTCTTGTGTTCCTGAGATAAGTGACATTTTTACCCAGTACTGAATGTATACCTGAAGTGGTCAAATAATACTTTTTATGAGTTTTCTTCTACCTAAGAGTATAGTTTTAACCTTAAATAAGGATGGCCACAATGAACCAACATGCAAAAATTCTCGTACTGCACAGAAATTCATCATACAATGCATTTACCACCTTAGTGCATTTTTTTCAAATCTTTATTCTGCACTGAACTGATCAGCCTAAGCAAAGGCATGCCTTCCCAACCGGATGCACTTGGGGCAGAGGGGGATGGAACACAGGAAGTCAACAGCCTCTGCACGGCACGCTGGGAGAACAGAGGTGGTGGAGTGAACACATTGTGCACAATTAGGTGACCAGTGGGCCTGCTCCCTTCCCGTTCAGGGAACAAGTATAGAAGGGTTCCACTGCCCAGCGTCTGGAATAAAAACCCTCATTCTAGGTAACTTTTCCAAATAAGTAAATACCTACTGAAAAGGGGAGTATCCAAAACCTTTAAGACAAAATAATAGTAATAGAAACCAAAACCCTCTTCAGAACAAAGAAATGATGTCTGTGAAGCTCACTCAACACAAGGAAGAAAAACAGCTTCTCTTACAGTTTGTTCCTTAGAGATTTGATTTGATTGGGCACAACAGGAACTAATCAAATAAACACTTGTTTATTTTTGTGTTTTGCTGTGGGTAATTTGTACAAAAAGTTTCCCAATCTCAGAGGCGTGGTGTGAATGACCTAAGGGTTCCACTGCGGCTCTCGGGAGCGGCCTCCTGCCGCGTGCTGTCGGGGTGCCCGTGCTGGCAGGATCTGCTCAAGAACAGGAGATGCTGGTACAGCTTTTCCTAGTGCACTATTTCTTACACAACCACATGCGTTACATTTACAGACAGATTTACAATTTGAAAGGAAAAGTGTTCTGTCTTAATAAAATTAGTTTTTTTACAAACTGTAGTCCGACCACAGTCCGCCTCCTGCAGCAGCTGCCTCCTCCCGCGTGTGGAGCAGAGAAGCCTTCCAGGCAGGTGCTGCCAGGACTGTCCGCTCAGCGCGCTCTGCCGCGGCACCACACTCACTCGGTCAGCGCAGATCCAGTGCCTTGGTCTTTTCACTCATCTTCATCCTCTTCGTCTTCCTCTCCATCAGAAAGGGACGTGCAAGGGCGGATCTGTCGGTAGCGGTCCAGCCACTTCTCCACCATCTGGGTGACCAGGGGGTGATTCCGCCTCCGCGAGCTTTTCTGCATGGCGACCAGAACCCCCCCCTCGGTCACGCAGCAGTCCAGCCACTCCCTGAGCAGCTTCTCCTGCTGTTCCTCGTTCCCTAGCTTTTGGAGGAGAGAGAAGGAAGGAAAACAGTCAGGCTTCCCAGGACGTGAAAACTAGGACAGCCAAACTCCCTGCCTCGGCTCAACCTTTCACCAGTTTTGTATTAAAGAGACTTCAGTGGGAACCTTCTCACTGAAAGCTGGAGGGTAAGGAAATTGCTAAGAAGGTCCTCTGTTTGCTCTCTGAGCAAAAAGCAAATGTTCTAATAAGCTGACCCTTCCTGGCGAAGAAAACGCCCGAGAAGTCACAGCTTCAAACACACGACAAGGTAAGTTCACCCAGTGAATCACGGATGGCTGGAGTTACACAAGTTACGGATTTTTTTTCCCTCTCAATGTCATGATTATGTGTTTTCTGATGGTTATAGTATACTAAATAAAAGACCAATAACTTTATAAGAATATGGGCTTTCTGAGAGTATTCTTTTGTACACTTATGCCTAGTCTGTACCACCCTCCTACTACCCTTTAACTGTATAGCTCTCCCTGGGGCTTCTGCCACTGCCCAGGTATCTAAGTCAGCCCAGAAGCCAGGGTTCCTCCTCTGGCAAACTGGCCTTTGTAGTCCCAACTCCCCAGAGTACAAGCAAAGCTGTGGCCTCATTTCCTTCCCACTACCCTCCTGCGCTGTTGCCCACCCCCTCGCAAGCCACAATGGCCCTGCAATTCCTAGGCGTTACGTCCCCAGATTCGTTAGTAAGACTCACTTCTGAGGACGCCCTAGCCCTTACCACCGTCTTTAAGTCCCCAGTCCTCCAGGTTTCCCTGTTTTTCTTCCTTAGCAGTTGAGGACAGGGCCTGAGGTTTAGTTTCCCGCTGTTTCCACATGGCAGTTTTGAATGATAAACATCAACGTCTGACCCCCCAGTTACAGCCGGTGGGAATGACTACCGCTACACACAGCGAGGTAGCTGGTACTGCTGATCAAACCACCCGGAGGACACCACAGGCTACCTTCTCGGTAGGGACACGCCACTCACCTCCTGAGCAGAAAGAAAGTGCACGTGGAGTAGCTTCCGCTCACTGTCAACCAGCGGCAAAAACGTGATGGTGACGTCATCATCAGTATTCAAGTTAGCACCAGCACCTCGGTTGCCATAGCCATCATTCTCCATGGCAACCAAAGCAGAGAAGTGGCCCCTAGTATACCCCAGAGCAATCGGACTTTTCCAACAAAAACTCTGTTCCCACAACAAAGGCAAATACACCCCTAGAAAGAGGAAAGAAAACCAAGTGGTTGCAGGTGTCAACAGTGCTCTCCCTCTGTGTCCCCAGTCCGGACCACCCAGAACCACTCTGATCCGCCCACCAGTGGAGGGCGCAGCTGCAGACCACTCTGTACTCAGACCAGAGACCTCCGCAGTGTCCAGATGGCCACTTACCTTGAAATCGAGTATAGCCTAAAGTCTCTCCCCGGAAACTCTTGTAGTATTTTACTCCGTAAACTATGATTGGTCGTCTAAGAATATGTGCGAGCACAAAAATGTGTGTCTGCTCCAAACTCGCTCCAGGCTGCACAGAGCAAAGAAAAAGGTCTTTTACCATTCCTGAGAAATGTTTTGTAACAATCAACAATCTTCATCATATTCAATATATTCAAATATACTT